ATTAGAGTTCAAATAACAAAAACTGGACAGCTTACTTCTCAGCTTATAAACATTCAGATTATTGTCTCCTTCTGTTTATGCAAAACTGAATTTCTGCAGTAAAATGTTCTGAACCAATTTTTATTGTTTTCTTATTCTGTTTTTTTTTATTAAAAGTGGGTTTATGGTTTTATTCAGGAAACTGCTTCTGTATCTGCAATGAAAAACACAATAAAACAGAAAGCACTGCAATGCCCACAATAATATTACTCTTCTCTTCCACTCTCCTAAGCAACACACTCTTGTTTTCATAATTCTGCCTGAAAAAGTAGATGATGTATTGCCTATGGAAATGTTTTTAGTCTAAAGTACCGATGCACATATGAAACTTTTGAAGGTTTCAGAAAGCAAGGACACATACTGTATACCAAGTTGGAAATTAGTTTCCACTCCACTCAGTCTTCCACTTATTCTATATGATGGCTGTTCAATAGGCTTACACAAACTGTAAAGTGTCTTTATATAGAACTTACAATCGGAATTTAACCTTTTTTTAAAATAAAATTATCTAAAACTGATCCTGAGTTACATACAGTACATAAGACAAAGGTGTATGAAAAATAATAGCAACCAAAACACATTAAATTCAGTTTTTAATGAATATTTACTGTAGTTCTTCTGTGTGCTTTTAATGTTCGATACTGTATATACTGTAGTACTATTCATCTTTAATAAATTGTTAGCATATTTTATTAATAATAAAATTGCATGAAATTGTATCTGTGTAATTACCAAGTAAATAATAAATTTAAAAAACTCATATAGCTCTTTTCTGGAAGCTCCACTGAAAGCAATGTGTAGCACCCACATGGATGATGTGATGGCAGCACACAGAGGAGAACAGAGAAATTAAGCCACTTCATAGATGGGGGCTATTTGGTAGGCCATGATTGGTAAAGGCCGGGGGGAAATTTATCCAAAATACCGGTGTAACACCCCTACTCCTTTTGAGAAATGCTCTGGGATTTTGAATCACCATAGAGAGTCAGGACCTCGGTTTTACATCTCATCCAGAGGATGGTGCCTTTTTACACCTTCCAGCAGCAGCCTTACTTTTTCCCAGGAGGTTTCTTATCCAGGTACTATCCACGCTCCTACCTGCTTATCTTCACTAGATTTGCAGTTGTGAGTTGCAGGGTGATATACTGCTGGGGAAAATACTTTTTTAGTTTGGTATTGATGAAGGTGTTTAAATGTGTCTGATCTGATGTGCAGAGATAAGCCTCACATACCTGGCAAAGTGAATCAGTACATGGGAATAATGTTTCATCTTTTAATTCAGTTTTCAACAAATGTTGCAACAAATTTTAAAATAAACCACTCTCCATCCTGGCAATGAGTACTCTAAATGAATATACTGTATAAACATAAAGAATGTTTACATAATCCACATGCAAAATGACAGATGAAACCTCCTTTCTTGTAATAAGAATGTTTCTTCAAAAGCAATCGTGAGTCATTCTAAATTCCTTAGTTTACAATTTGATATCATACTATTCCTTGCAACTTTTTTCCCTATTTTTTTAGGAATTATGTAGTATAAAAATAATAAAGAAAGCCATTTACTTATTCAAAAAGTACAAAGAAGCCAACAAGGCTAATCCCATGGCACAATGGAATGAGCCACAGGAAGAGTTTAAAGAATAACATTTTATCACTTGCTCCCATGTCGCTGTTTTGCATTCAAAATGCAGACAGGGACGTTGGAGTAAAAAAAGAAGACGATGAATAAATGTAAGTTTGGTCCAGAAGGTAGAATTCTGTTTTCCACACATTAATAACTCTGCAGAATAAATTACCAGCTGAGACTGGAGTCACAGTCAGTAAAATGGTAGGCCTTTTGGTAAGTTTTATTTAGTTCCATGCCTTTTTGCATCCTCGGTTTTCAAAATGTCTTCTATTATTTCTGCAGGCTTTTCCCTAAGAAAAGAACTATCAAAATCACAAATTAAAATGGAACAGAAATATATAGTCAATCATTGCTGTAGAATTAAACAATTTACTTTTGCTATGGGACAGTGCTATGAAGGTAAATTTAAGACTTGACTTTGAAATATTGGAACAATATAAAATATTGGGAGGATTTCATAATAACTTGTAGAGACAGTCCCTTAATCATTTTTTCAATATTCTATAGATTTTATGACTGAGTGTTTGAACTACGACATAATTACAGTATCCCAGTGAAAACACAGTCAAATGTTGTCTTGTGAAAAATCTGCTCTATGTTTTCTTACTCTACTAATTTTACTCTGTTAATTTTAGTGTGCTTCATTCTAAATAAAAGTTCTTTATAATAGTGTAACGCAACGGGTGCTCAGGCGTGCGCCCTTGCCGCATCTGTTCGGCCCCATCCCGACTGGAGGCTCAAACCCGGGACTTCCGCGTCTCTCTGCAGCGACCTAGCCCCGTGAGCTAAAGAGAGATCTCTCTACAGCCCAGTAGCTGTAGTCCTGCTATCACAGGGAAGGGCGGTGACGTCACCCGCTCTGGTACGCCGGCTCTTACACACAGTGCTTGTCGGCCGTAAGCGTTACAATAGGAACTTATATGTTAGTTATAAGAGCAATACATTATATTATAACCTGTGTCTTAGAAATATTTTTTTTCAAACAGCTTCCACAAAATGGATAGCAAATTTTGTTTGAAGACAAAAAGTCCTTTTGAATGCATGCAGATGCCAATATTTCACAGCACGATTTAATAAATAATAGCACAAGCACTGCAGTTTTTTTTCCTTTTGTGACTTTCATTCCTCAGCCATAATTTCCAATATGTTGTCATTATATCTACTGTAATATTTTATCTGCAGCTACTGTATATTCTCTGGTATATCACAAGGAAAGAACATGATGTATGAGTTATATGTGTTTCAGCAAATAGTGATCAAGTTCAATTAAATGAATGCAGAGAGATGTACTGTATCTTTGTTATTTCATATTTATTAAACCTAGAGTATGGAGAAATAAACATTTGTATATTTTTGTTTAGAACTCCTTATAAGTGATTTTGGATTTACTATGGTTCTTATTTTATATTATTTAATAAAATATATACAATATTTTTATTTTAAGAAATGGCCTATATGAAATGCAGACAGTGCATATTGAGTGACACCTAGTCTCTCTATAGTGATACTAATTAAAGTATTATTTAGGATTTACTGCAGTTCATCGAGGTCTGCAAAACTGTCAGCTGCTTTGTACAGTATGTCTGTTCTCAAAATGTACCACTGAAGGAGCTTCTAACTTACAGTGCCTTGCGAAAGTATTCGGCCCCCTTGAACTTTTCAACCTTTTGCCACATTTCAGGCTTCAAACATAAAGATATAAATTTTTTATTTTATGTGAAGAATCACCAACAAGTGGGACACAATTGTGAAGTGGAACGAAATCTATTGGATTTTTGAAACTTTTTTAACTAATAAAAAAATTGGTGATTCTTCACATAAAATAAAAAAATTATATCTTTATGTTTGAAGCCTGAAATGTGGCAAAAGGTTGAAAAGTTCAAGGGGGCCGAATACTTTCGCAAGGCACTGTAAATAGATTGAGTGTTAGTTAGCCCAGGTTTTCTTCGTTATTGGTGCAACAGCTACTCCTGGCACCTGCTGTAGGTGTCTCCAGGCTTGTTCCTGCATTCGGCAGAAACCTGCTGCTTTCAGAACATGAGCTAGTATGTAGAGGTTCTTATTCCACAGGTTCTTATTCTTCCCATGAAGTACAGGAATCATAGCTGAATAACAAATTAACATGAACAATCAATGATTCCAAATTGTTTGAGCATTATTAAAAAATAACTTGTGATTCAATTTTAAGAACATGTTTATGGGTTCAGTGTTATATTTTTCTTTGCCCTTGTTGTTTGAAACAAGTTGACTATCCCTTTATGAATTTGCCAGTACATATCAATGAGAAAGCACAGGAATATAGGGATCACACACATACAGTGGGTCAATGGGGTAAATACTGTTGAATAGCATGAAAAATTATGATTTCTAGTGTTTTCATTTGTGAAACCATTTGTGAAGGCTTATAACCTCAGTATGTATCTCCAGGGTGCTTTTCAGATACATAAAACAGCGGTTATTATTAGTGTCAGGGTTCAGGTAGACACTTGTGTCAAAGGTGGTTAGAGGTTAGAGAGTATAGTGTTACTTTATAAACTGCAGAGGCCCAGAGTGAACGATTCATGCATCCTTAATTTTAAGGCACCTTAACCCTTTTTCTCAACAGAAGTTAACATGTTCACAACCTTTTTGTTTTTTTCAGAGTGCACACATTTTTCTATCATAAAGTGTCACTGAAGTCTACTGGTCTGAAACCAGTATCGCTTTAGAAGCTATACAAAAAACTTTTTTTTCTGGATTGGGATACAATTCATGTCATTTTTACATATCTTTATTTATTGTATCACATTCAATTTTTAGTCTGAATCAGAAGTAACAATATTGAGTCACTGCCCTTTCACTGGCAGAGAAATTCTTACCATTTCTAAATGGAAATAATATCTAATTGTTGCATCTTCTAGTCAGTAAATTATTTTTTCTTATTAATTGTCTTGTATTGCATTTTAATTATGACAAATTCACAAAAAACATACATTAAAAACTTTCACTGACTTTAAGTTTTTTTTCTTTTGTACACAAGGTCATCCAAACCACATTCTACATTTAATATAGGTCCAGTCTCTGTGTTCGTTTTAAGACAAGCTACTGTACTTTGTCATATCCTATAAAGCTTGGATAGAAAACTGTATTGTTTTCAACTGCCCCAACCCAGCAACAAATAAAGGCTACATTTAGCAGATATTACAGCACAGTATGTCTCCACATGCTTTATCAATGGCGACTAACATGTTAAAATAGTAGATCTGACCTTCTAGTTATTATTACATATTATTAGATAAGAGATATTGAGGTCAGTAGCTCAGCCGTAAATTTTATTTTTCTTTATCTGCAGAGACCCATGAAGCAAAAATAGTAAGATCATCTGAATACACTGCAAAAGAGGTAAGAATCGATAAGAACGATATTCACAAAAATTTAATTCTGTCCAAGACACCTTATCTATGTGTAACTTGGCAGTATAGGTGATAATGTACCCTTTGTGAAATTTGTTAGATGTTTCCATTTGACTAAATGCCAGGAAAATAAAAATAGTTGTTTTCCATATTTTGACATTGGTAATCAGAAGAGTTGTACTCTTAGAATATAATAGTTCGGGTTGGTAGCTGCGTCAGCATGCATAGGCTGCAAAGGAACAAGTAATAGGTTTATTCCATGCTGAAAAGAGAAGAAGGAAAACACAACATTTCGGCCATGGAGCCTTCTTCAGGTACCTGAAGTATGTTATGTTATTTCCAAATGCAGGGACCAACAAAAGCAAAAGTATTTATGTAACACCTTTCCGAGAAGATTGTGAATGTGCGGCAGTGTCACTTCCGAGGGGAAACGGTGGAAATTTTGGATACACTATTACAGTACAATCAATTCAATTAATCAATTAACAGCTAAAGATTCTGTCAGCCTCAGATGGCATTGCTTTCCGTATCTTTCCATTCAAACAACATTTAAAACATTTCAGACAAAAATCAAAAAGCCATACATTACAAAATCTGCCACTCCTGGAACTGAACAAATAGAAGGCATCTTAAGCAATTATTTTGTGATAGTTTTTGCCTTTTTTGTTGTTTTGTTTTGTTTTTTTGTAAAGCACTGATTCCTAAACTTCATCTACCAATATTTGTGTGTTCTGTACAAGAATATTGAATATTTTGTATATTGTTGACAAACAAAATCAAAATATTATTTGGAATTGCTTGAAACATTTATGAAATAGAAATCTTTGGACCTTGTACAATGCAAATTATTTAATTAAAAATATATATTTCCAGTTCACAAAGCAGACCTTTTTGCATTTGTGTTGGCTTAGTCATATAGAGTATGACTGTCCTTCATCAAGGTCTGTCAAATTAAGATAAATTCTGTGATTACAGTAGATTTCAGCTTACTGAAACAGCAGAATTTAATATTTGCTGCTTATTTGTAAGTAAAATACCTGACTAAGCCATGTCAATTAAAGATCAAATAGAACCATACAGCAAGCTTATTCTAATATGTAATCTTAGATACAACACCCTACAAAATTTGTTATTATTGACTTATTGAAAGTATTTGTCAGTATAATTGTACCGGATAATGCTCAATGGGCCTAGTGAATCATTGTCTTGAATACCAAACAAAGTTAGGTCAAGCAAAAACAAAATATAATTCCCAGAACGTTTTCCTTTATCAAATTATTAGAAGCTGCTTTAGGAAAAAATCTTTTGAAAGCAAATTTTGCTGCACCTTTCGAACTCCTTGATATGAATCTCATTAGTGAGCTATGCTGACTCATTAATCTCCCCTTAGTTGTTAATGAGAGAGTTTTTAAATCAATGTCTCTACATCTAGCCATTGGCTAATAAACTCATCAAAAATGTTTATATAGCAATATCTAGATCCATATTTAATGTTACAAAATAAAGAAACATGCATACAGTAAATTCAATAAAACAATGTTTTTTTCTGTACAGCAAAGAATCCCAATGTACATTATATACGGGAGGGATTCACCTCATTCCCTACTCTTACAAATAGTGCCATAATCTTTAATGACAAACAGGTTAGGACTCTGTTTTATGGAAAACCAAAGGACAGTACGCCCTTCAATACAGTGCCCTCATCACTAGATTGGAGTGTTGATTTGGAAATTCAAGTCTAAAGGGAAGAGCAGTGCCTACTAGTCCTTGGCCCAGTACAAACAAGACCCAGTATTTCTTAACTTAACTGAATTCTGGGTAGATCAAGCTGCAGGGTGGTATTGCTGTTGTTAAAAGCATGTAATATACTGTATGTTAAAACAAGGAGTACATTATGTTTCAGAGCACTTTAGCATTAGAATAATTAAGAGATTCTGGGTTCCTCTGAAGTAATCTTTATTTAGCAGAATCAGATGTTGTATATACTATTGAGCAGAACAGTTAAAAGACCTATGATACCACAAAAAACAGTACAGTTTATGTTAAGCAATCCTCACAGTACAGAGAGTTCCTTTAGCAGTGGATCACTGGGAATAAGTCAAACAGAACAGGAAAAATAAAACACCCAAGGCACCAGTCTTGAATTAAAAGTTGAATATTAATCTATTCGCTAACTTTGTTTTCTCCCTCCTCATTGGGAGCTGAAGCCTTTTCCATTCATTGGGCATTCTTTTTATAGTTTATATCTTAAAAAGAGCAGCAATGTTTGCTAATTTAGCTGCATCCTTATGTTGTTACAGTAACTTGCATGTGAAACAGAATTTTGTGTTTGGAGTAGTATCATCCATCCAGCTCATCCTAGCAAGCAATGGGTGCAAGGCAGGATACACCCGGGAGAGGAAACCAGGCCTTCACAGGGTAGTGACACACACATACTCACACTAGGGCCAGTTTTCCCAGAAGCCAATTAACCTACCAGTATGTCTTTGGACTGTGGTAGGAAACCAGAATACCCAGAGGAATACACATAAGAACACTGGGAGAACATACAAACAACACCCAGATAAGCACTGCGTCACTATGCCTCCCTGGAGTAGTATCACACATGATGTCATTTAAAAGCTACCTTCATTAGAAATAATTCATTTTAAGACAAGTTAAATAAACACACAATATTTTTTTTCAATGAGTTTTCAGAATGTTTCAGGCAACATACAGTAAAGTAAGCAGTGCTTTACTTGCTCTTGACACCACAGAAACAGAATGTACATCAGTGACCAGGTCACCCTAACAATTCTCCTAAGACCCCAAGAGTGGTTCCTTGTGTTTATGGACCCTTTCAGTGGGAGTTGGCAAAAGATATAATGAGGGGTGTTTTCTAGCAGAAGCCAAATGCCACAATTCCTGCCCCCAGAAGCAGTGTCTTAACTTCCTCAAAGAAGTGTCCTTTGTGCAATCTCGTACATACAAGTATTACAGATCATCCAATTCCCCTCCTCTCATAGTCTCAGTTTCCTGTGAGTCCTGACCTGGGCTTGCAAACCGCTACAGTATGTTGAAAGTGCCAGTAATTCAGCAGTTACACACTGTTTATGAAGTAATTGTTTTTTGTGAACTATTATTTATAAATTCTCAAATTTATAAGAAGCAAAACTAGAACAACCAAATAATGTCAAATACCAAGTCATTATATATTGCTCAATTATGAAGTGAAAACTCTATCAACAGTATATTGTGTGAGAGAAAGGACAGAATACATTCAATTTTGAATATTGAACTTTCTGGAAGTAGACACCAAGATGCATGAATTTCAGGACTGAACCAAACAGACAATGATTATGAAAAAACAGCTTAAAAATAAAATTTGAAGTCTGGCAGAGCTAGGCTTCCAACAGATCTTTCATGCTGCAGAATTTAATACATGGTTGCTTCTCTTTCCAGATGAATTAGGAAATTCTAGTATGCAATCTATACCAATACAGTAAAGTAGAAAAGAGGAATCCTAGAAAAAAATATGAGTAAGGAAGGATATACATTTTTTCTGCTGTGATTTGAGCATGCAGCAACCTGTAAATCTACTTTTTTTAAAAATGTAACTGTTTTTTGTGATAGTGTGTAAATGCCAATACTAAGGCATCTTACATTTGACCATTCGCCCAATTTTAGGTATGCCATTGTTTTTTATTGCAAAATGTAAAGACAATAATGCTTATTTGATTAAAATGGTTTAATGCCCTCATAGAACACAGTTACTGTTTATAAAAATAGCTAGCAGATAAAGGTTTGGGCAACATTATCTGCATATGGCAAAATACCATTGCCAGGGTGAATTGCAATATTGATTATTGGTAACGTAAAAAGGGTTAGAAATAGAAAATTAATACTAGTTTGAGCTAGTAGTTCCAAAAACCAGGTAACCAGAAGAAGTAAAAGTGGGGTTCCCTAACTTTGAAATTTCAAAATGATAATAATACTTATACATGTTAACACAAGAATGGTGGTTAAGGGTAGGTATATACTAAATCTTTGTAACAATATCAATGGCATCTGATCTAAAACCCATACATTCTAAAACTGACTACAGATATCCTCACGCTTGTCAAAATCTTTCTTGGTCTCCAACAACAAAAAAGCACAGCATGAGGAGACTGTGAATATTCTAAATAATATAATAAGCACATAATGCCTTTTAATTCAGCCTAATGATTGTGGTGAATTAATTTGGTCATACAGGCCTCCAGCCAAGACTAAGTACCTTAGTATTCAACTTGGAATCACAGCAAAGCAAACAAATAGGATAATAGTGGAAACTAAATAGTGGATGTTGTACAATAAAATTGATATAACTATTATATTCATATACAGTATTACATGTTAATGTATCTTTCTATTGAAGTATGTATCATTTTGAGCAGTAGGGGGCGCAACAGGGGCCAAAAAGCTCAATACAATTCAGAAAGGGATGCCATCAGTGCCAAAGGGTTTACCATGTCGTATCCGGAACCATTGTTTTTATTTCACACCTCTTCAGGACAAAGACAAAGTAAATGAAGGTCGTTACAGAGACACCATAGAGTACATTTTCCCTGATGACACTGAAAGCCTGCACTGTATAAAATGTAGAGTTTATCTGCATTTTATAATGTGGCCAACTACCATTAGAAATAATTTTCTAATAAGGTGTATTTTCTTATGCAGAAGCCTCAGAAAAAAAGTGAGTTGTTGTGCATATCCTAGAAAAAGAACAAGTAAAGGACCATGCTGAAGCAAAGAGAAAGTTGGTGGGATATGAAGCAGAACAGAATGAAAAAAAGGAAATGTGAGAATTGGCACAGCAGGTGACAAAGAATGTTTAAAAAAATGGAAATGTGCAGGATAGCTTCCAGAAAAAGCCTGAAAAGTTTAAATCTGTAAATGAATTGAAATTTTAAAAAGACATTATACTATCTTTGAAAGCTGGTAGAATGTGTGATCTTAGTTTGAGGATAA